CTATAGTGTTAACTGTGATGCTTCAGTTTTATCAGAGTTGGATAACATTATAACCTCAATTTGCACATCCCAATAAAGCTGATGCAATGTATAAAACTGAGCAGAGCAAAAATTACTYGTTCAARKTAAACACTGCATGTACATCTATTGATCTTGCCAATCAAAGGACTGACTTTTCAACACATAAGCAGCCCCTCAATGGCAAATGTACATGCCARTAGCATAAAGACAGAGGGGAAGCCTTCAAACCTGGGATAACCCCAGAGAGAAAGAGAGCTGAGGTCTMTCYACAGCAAAAGCTTCAAAWAAGGTAAACTCTTGCCATTCATGTACCAGTTCTCATCTAAGGACCACAGGATTCTCAGCTTGGAGGAGGCTTTGAACAAAGCTCAGATATCTTTTCCTGGAACTCTGGWAACACTGAAAAACCACAAAGCTGATCAAGTCATAGCAAACMTGCTTAAGCTTGAGGGCCTGTTCAGAAAGATGCACCTGCAGCTAGAGAACAAAAAATTCCTGAAAGTTCTCAGTAACCACAAGGAGCAACTTTCTTGGATTTAGCTACAGATAAAGGATCACAAAAGGGAGAAGGATTCAGTCAGCCATAAAGCTCAAGAGCTGGAGGCTCCGAGCAATTAGAAGGACACACGTCTTTTCGCCAAGGATTTTACAGTAATTAAAACCAGGCCACACAAGCCACTTTCTAGAATAGATGGTGTGACGGTACCAAAGCCATCCATTRCTTTGGATAAATCAACAACAGTTGCTATTCTGTGGCATTTCCAGTGATTCTAACTAAGGGAACTGCACCCAAGGCAACACAAGGTAGACAGGCATTTCGTTCAGTCCTCCTGCTCAACTCTCTTACKATACTCCTTTCTCCTTTYRGAAAGGCTTTTCTATGGGAAAATTAGAGACAAATTTAAAATACAACTCAGTCACCATTATTAGCAAAACACGGTTCAGCTGTGAAACCCTGGARGTGCCCCCTGGGCTTTCCAAACTCCCCCTGTGAAGCACAGGCATCCCAAGGCCACTGCTCCTGGAGCCCGTCTGCCTCCCCCACTGCCCTCCACAGCCCACAGATACACAGTGAGAACGGAGCAGCAGCGGGGAGGGCGGGGGGTGCACGGGAAAGGGAAGGGGTGAGAAACACCAAAGCAGCCGCTTCTTCACCGGGGCGGCTTCTGTTCTTGGTGCCGTTTCTTCACCGGGGCTTCTGCCTCCCTGGGTGACTTGCCCTTCCAGTGCTGCAGGGCTGCTCATCTTGAGTGAGTACAAACTTCAGCAGTCCAGGGGAAAGCGGGGGGTTCCACCATCACCCAAAGCTTCTGGCCGACTCACGACCCAGCCTCCGAAACGAGGCAGCTACAGACTCCTTTAGCCAAATAATAAAAGTCTCTCCAGTGTGGAGAATAYTGGTGTCCTTATCTCATAGGCTGTGCTAYCAATTTGCTCTCGGCCAGATTGTAGTTAGCCAAGCAAGTCCCCTGCTGTTGTTGGAGTCTGAGTTAGAATCTGCAGGGAGTTTGCAGACAGTATCCGGGGGGGTTCTCGAGACCCATCTTGTTTCCTCATAGCTTCTAGGATCGTTCTCCATGAAGGGAGCAGTTTGACCTGATCTCCTCCCRTAGCCCGATCCCATAGCTGGACCCCGATACTGTCCCACAGATSAGCAGAAAAAATACAGTTGCCATTGGCTTGGAGAGTCCATCTCAAAAGCCGCTTAAGTAAATGAGAGGACAGAGTCTCATTATTTTTCTAGCAGCTCCTTCGTAAGTTTGAAAACAGACTGCTCTTCTTTGGAAAATGTATGTCCCATTATCCCACGGCTCACYTAATCTCCCAAGGTGATTGATTGCYGGCAGCTGCTTTGTTTCTACGTAGATAACACAGTCTTTTCCTATGTGCTTAGATTATTCCCCGTAACAGGATAATTTCCCAGTGGCTCACCTTAACTTCAGGAGTCAGGTTTCAAGTTTCTTACTTCTGGTCCGGACCTTCTCTATCCCCGGGTTTTCTGCTCTCGGCGAAAACGAGCGGCTCGGAGGCCACTCTCCCCACGAGCAGCTCGGAGGCTGCTCTTCCACACGAGCAACTCGAAGGCTGCTCTTCCACACCTGCTCTGGGCAGGATCCCCGACCTTGCCTCGAAGGCGTAGGCACCCCAAAGAGAGTGGGGCCAGGCAGGCTGCTCAGCRTTCCTAGCAGGCAGCTTCAACCTGTCGGGCGCCATATGTCGCTGTTGGCCAGACAGCCGACATAAAAGAATAGATACAAAACACACAAAAGTGGGTGAAAAAACAGAAAGAAAGAAGGACTTTATTGTGGAACAAGCCTCTTTTATCCACTTTAGCAACCAGTGCATACATTTGTGTCAAACATACATTGGTCAGTGAGGCTGTCACTTTCTACTCAACAGCAYAGGATTGGTAGGTTTGCAAAAGCTACAGTATTAGTAATGTTTATAATTGTAAGCCACCTGCATTATCAATTCTACATTCCAACCTGCTTTTTCTCAAGACAGCCAAGGACGTGGCGTTTTATTCCCATGCAAGCTGTTAACACTCCCTACAGATGGATGTGGCTCCTTCTATAGCAGCTGGCAGGAAACCTGGATGTTTGGTGGTATACAAAACCTGGCAGACCCCACAGATTGCGGTACACCAGAAATGGACATGGGCATAGATAAGAGTTTAAAAGTATCTGAGAAATTAGCAAAAGGATGACAGAATCTTGCCCTAATACAGCAAGGCACCCAGTTCAGATCCATTATGACTTGACATTTACATTGTGATTTTCATGCTCAAAGCACCTCCCCAAAATCCCACTAAATTCATCTGTGAACTAGATATGACAAGTTTTCCTTTCAAAATGGAAAAATAGGTACAAAGAACTACATGTGGGATTCACCTCACTGACATCAGCCATTAGGAAAAGTTAAAAGTATCTGTTATAAACCTGGTCTGAGGAAGTCAGGTCAGCTCTTTGTGGTCAGAGGAAAAAGGCAACTCCAAAGCAGCCAATTATATCCAAAGATCAGGGTTTGGATCAAGTTCTACACATCTCTCTCTCTGGAGTGGGTATAGAGGTAATCCAGACTCTTTCCAAATCTCTATAAGAGAACTAAAATTCAGTAAGATTAACCCCCATTTCCCTGTTCTCCTTAGAAGAGAAGAACAGGGAAATGCAGCCCTCTGTGGCTAACCTACAATGTGTGCCCTGAAATGAATCTCACCTTACCCAGCATAAATAAGCAGAGCAGAGTAAAGCAAATTCTAGATCCTGCTCTTTGTACAAAGTTCTCATCCTAACAAACATTTCTTCACTTTGTATAATCAGTCTCTAAGGATTTTTAAGAGAGGGACTGCAAATAGCTGTAAAGTTATGTGTTGTACTTCTTCAGTAGGTAATTTAAAATGAGTTTTAACTTCTTCCCACACAGATGACAAAACTCTTAGTCATATTCAGGTCACTTTCATCCTTTTATTTTAATTCCATGGCAGTCATGACTCCCAAAAATGGAATCTAGTTTGCTCTTGTTTTCATTACAATTTTTTGTAGAAAGCAAGCTCATCAGCTTCACTTAAATTATTCAACTGGACTAAATCATAACACAAGGGATGAGTCTGACACATAGGAATTTCTCACCATTATTTCTTATTGTAAATTTTTAGTCAATAGAAATACTAAATTATGTAACTGGTAGTGTGAAGATGATTCAGCATATTGCAGGACTGAACCTCCTTTTCCCTCAGATACCCTCTTCACTCAGGTTTGCTCTGCCATTCCTTTGAGACCCCAAAAGATTCTCTAAGACTTGTTGACCTCAGCTGGATGACACCTGCATAGTATAAGGAATCTGTTAGAACTGATTGTTATGCTGTACCTTAGAGACAGAGGCCATCCACTCACAGACATTAAGAAATGAATCAATTATGCAAATTTTAAAGTGTCTGTGTATTGTGCATTAAACATTATCTCACCAYCTATATAAAAAAGGCCCCAAACTCTGTCAGTAGTGTTACTCAGAGAATGTGTAAATACTCTGAATTTTTTCATGTTGATTTGTTCATGTTGATTTTCAGCTCTGTTCCAAAGTTCATGAAGAGGATGAAAGTCCCTGACTAYAAGGACAAGAATGTCTTTGGCGTGCCCCTGATAGTTCATGTGCAGAGAACGGGACAGCCTCTTCCCCAGAGCATACAGCAAGCCCTGCACTACCTGCGCAGCAACTGCCTAGACCAGGTAGGAGCTTTACTCCACGGACTTTTTTTTTTCTGAAAAGCCACATTAAGCAAGCAACAGTGAGCATTTTTGTACTTAGAACTAGAATTATTTGAAGGTTATTATCGCTCATGTTGGCCCTAGATCTCCTCTGGTGATTTGATAGTTGGTGCCAATACTAAAGTTTGCCATTTTGAGATTTGTATCCAACTAATCTGTTGAACTCTTGTAGCTGTAACAGTCTACTTCAAAGAACATTTTGAGATCTTCATGTATATTGAATGAAACCTGGGAAGAGATCAGGACKCCCCACTCCTACCTGTATCTTACAAGCACTGCTTATGCTTGACTGTTGCCATTGAGGTTTAACTGCATTCGCCATTTCACAAGATATGGTACAAAAGGTTTTATTTACTTAGCAGACAGAAAAGTCCAAGAATAGAGAGCAAACTCAGCAAAATATTCCAAGTTTTCTGTTGACAGAGTCAGATATATCCAGATAGTTGGGTCAGCAGGGGTTCAATGTCAAAGCCATTATGGTACTTTGCCTTTTATCGTGTTCTTAGCTACAACAAGCCAGCTGGGACACCCTCATGCTCAAAGTATTTCATATTTCTTTATGCCCTCTAGCTGCAGAGGGACATACTAATCATATTTTTACTGTTCTTTCCCTAAGGATGAGACTGTGTATTTTTATGAACATAGAACTGGGAGAAACCCCGTGGCTGATTATGTTCAGTCCTCTGCTGTTATTGACCTCATGTCATATGACCTGTCATAACTGCCTTTAGATAGTTGTGAGTTCAAAAGGAGCACTTTGCTCTGAAGACTTTGCTGCTCTCCTGGCTCTGAGCACATAAAAAGGGTGGAATTAGTCTGTTGTGAATCTTCATATTTTCTAATCACCGTTCTGGTTGCTATGTTGCTGTTCAGGTTTTTGTTGGGTGACAGTTATCTTCCCCAAAACTGAAATCTAAAAATTAAAGGTGTTCCTGTAAATCACGACCATTTCCCTCTGCATCCAGTGGGAAAGACACAGGTCCTTCCTGTCAGTTCTCTGTGTAAAGGGACCCTGTAGTGGTCAGACCTCGACATCTAACTCCACAATGTCAAAAGTGAGGTGAGATGAGTTCTGTCAGCCATGTGTAGTGTGGCAACTGAGGGGCAGGATGAACCACTTGTCAGAAATTTAAGACAGGATGAAAGGGAAAGGTGCATGGAGACAAGTGGGAATGGCACATTCAAGAGCTAACGTGCCTGGTTGCCATGGTGGTCATCTGGCTTTGTGTACTGAGCTGGGAAACCCAGTGTAGATAGAAAAGGGATGCAGCAAGCCTGGAATTAGTGATGAGATTGGAGAAGGAGACACTTGCCCAAGTAAGAGGAACAGGAGGTGTGAGGATAGGGCCGGGCTTGTCAGCTAAGAAGTAGAGCAAGAGGAAGAAAGAGAAGAGAGAGGATTAATTGGGGGGAATGTAAAAGGGAGTGTTAATAAGAAAGAAAAAGCTCTTCAGAAATTTGAGGCAATTAAAAGGTGTTGGAAGACTCAGACAAATATCTGCTCCATTCTTGATGCTGGGAAGGATCAGAGCTCTGTGAAGAGCCATTTCAATTCAGCTTTGGTTTCTTCTCAGAGTGAAATTGGGAAAACACTGAACTAAAAAAAAAAGAAGGAGGAGAAGTGCAGCTTGGGACCTATTAAAATATCTTTTCATCAAAAGCCTTTCTAGGCAAAAATATTCCAGTCAGTTCAGCTTCTCTGCTTTACAATTCCTCCCCTTGCTCCCTTTAATTCGAAGTCTCCTAATGCCTGGACAGAGACCTAGGCAGTCTCCAGGTTCCCCCAGCACCTTGCTTATGTGTCTCTTCGGTGCGCTGCTGAAGGTGATCTAAAGTTCAGAACACAGAGCTTCAAGGGCACATACTTGGTAAAGTTGAGGCTGCTCTTAACCATTGTAAGGTCTAGCTCCTGCCACTGAAATCCCTAAAATGGCATGAGGAGGCTCACCWTTACTAGAAGGATATGTGATTCAGTTTTAATTCGTGAAATAGAAACTGCTTTGCCTTTTCCAACCACATCTTTATTTCTGTCATGCATCATGGGACTGATTGCAGGGAAGATGATCCACACAGCATGAGGATAGTAAAGAGATTGGATCAGACTGACCTCTGGATTTATAGTCCCTTTTATTTACAGAACAAGTCTGTAATAATGCAAAACGAGCCTAAAACATCTTTTTCTATCAAGTGAAGAACTGTTTTGATTAATTTTTTTTTTATTAAAAAAAAAAGAAAATTGGGGTTTGGATCAATGTCGTTAAACAGATCAAGAGCAGCAGAATGATGAGCAGCAGGAGATTGCATGAGTGAGATTTGGTATCTGACCTTCCAAATCAGACTTCGCTGGCAGTTTTTAATGGTTCTTTATACCAGCAAGGACATTTTCCTTCAGAAGGAGAGAACTGAACCTCTGTTGCCACATTTATCTACCACAGGGTCAGAACTTTATTTTTTGGACAGAATTAGTAAATGTCCTTCTGCATCTTCAGCACACATTTCTAAGGAAAAGGCATTTGAAAAGAAGAAAAGGGGAAAGGGAAAACCCAATGAAAAGAGCTGGATACTCTTTCTTGTATGCTTTTGTCAGAAAAGAGAGGGGAGCTTCACTTGGGATCATAAATACAGAACACAGGGTACACTCCAATTCTCTAGTTCCTACACATAAATTTAGCTCACAAGTGACACTAAATTCATCAATAAGAAGACACAGAAAAGCTGTCACACAGCATCTGGTGTAGTGGTTCATCTCCATATAAATATGTAAATATACCCCCTAACAGAGCTGTGGTTTATGTAATTAGTGTCATTAATGTGCCAGTTAATGAAAGTCCTAAATACCTTCTAGGTGAGCATGGGAAGCATTTTAAGGAGAGGAGGGTCCTGTGTGAACTGCTGCTTTTTGCTCGGCAGGAAGGGAGAGAAGGCCAGGAGACATTATTCCCTTACCTCTACTGTTTGTTGATGGACTGTGCCATGCAGGAAGCTGCACCGATCCCCAGTGAGGCAGCAATCACAGAGGAACAAGAGTCTATAATTCCCAACTTGAAATGTGCCTTTTCCATAGGTCTCTCTCAGGATTTCACCTCTTTCCCTGAAAAACTGAAGGGAAACAGTGTTAACATTCCCAAATGAAGCAGTATAAACTCAATTGGGAATAAAATGTGGTTGAGGCTCAGGAATTCCCCTGAGGGGGGAATTCCACTGGCAAGAAGGACAAGAAAGGGCAGCCCTGCCTCGAAGGCATCATTTGAAGAATTGCCACTTCCTTTCGAGCAGAAAGCAAATAGGATAGAAACGTATCTTAGTGACACTGCACAAGTAATGCCTCTGTGGCCCTCACTTTCAAACTGGACTTTTCAGTGGAATTTGGGAGAACTCTTGGAAGCAGAGAGCAGGAAAGGAAAAACCAGATTTCGTCTTGATTTTAAAGCTCTACCAGGTTGTACTTATCTTTTGCCACAGCATTTATTAGTTAGCTAAGCCTAATATTTTCTTGTTAGTCTTCAAAATATATACCCAAATAAACATGAGGAGCCAGATTCTCAGCTGGAGTAAATCAACACACAACCACCCAAGCCAAGCAAGCCCGGCTGATTTATATCAGCAGAGCATCTTGCTTAAACTCTTCAGGCAGCAGGGAAACCACAAGGCCCTCTGAACCCTCCCCTCTAGGATGGGACAGAGAGCAGCAGTCTTATTAACCCTTTCAGTCCTGCTGTGGGAGCGTGCACTTGCCTGCAAGTCTTGTGGGACCATTTGCACATTTTCTCTTTTCTTACCTGGAGTAAAGTAAGCAACCCAGGCTTTGGTCATGCTCCAAACCTCCATAATAGATTTATATGTGAATGCAATATATGTGTATGTAATATATGTGTATTTATATGTGTATGTAATATAGATATATTTTTAAAAGGCATTTTCCCTTTTACCCAACTTAACACGGTGCATTTTTAGGTGGGTCTATTTCGGAAATCTGGAGTGAAATCCCGAATCCAGGCCCTGCGTCAGATGAACGAGAGCTCCCCAGAAAATGTCAACTATGAGGACCAGTCAGCGTACGATGTGGCTGACATGGTGAAGCAATTCTTCAGGGATTTGCCGGAACCTCTCCTCACAAGTAAACTAGGAGAGACTTTTCTGCACATCTATCAATGTAAGTTCGTATTTCCACTCATTTCTATTGCTATAAACAACAATTGGAAAATGTTATATWTTATATAGTAATATACTGTGAATCATTTTGGCTTGTTAACACTGGATAGGATTCTTTCTGCTGGCCTTTGAGATATATAAACCTCTGCCCTCAAAATCTTTCATTAAGAGATCTTTAGAATCACCTAAATGTTTCAGTGGCAATTTTAATGGAAAGACAATGTTCAAATACTGAGAAAATTTGAAAATACCAGCCTCACAATCAGGAAAAAGACAGAAGAACAGGCTGCTGGACATAAAAAGCATGAAAACTCTTACTTTTGTCAGATTTCTTTAAACTGTGAGCCCATTTCATGCAGACATCTCAATACAAGTGAGTCTTCTGGGCATGGAGAAGTGGTACTTGGCCATGAGAATATGGGTCTGTGCAGTCGCCTTCCTTGCTGTGACTTTTGATTATTTGTTTTTTCATTTTAATCAATAAAATGTACATGCAAAAAACAAGCTACCTTCATGTAGATCATAAGCTTTATGCAAAAAAAGACTCATAGAGAAAGAAAGAAACCAGAGGATTTCTTCTTTTCTTTCCCGCAATCTGCAGCAAAATCTGAGACTCAAATGCATCAGAATAATGAAAGTCCCTGTGAATCAGGAAATGATTGTGTATCTCTTCTCCAGACTGAGGGAGAAACACTGAAAAGTCAGAGGAATTAGAGTTTTTTCCTGACAATGTCCATTATGAAGGCCAGTCAGCCAGCACTCTGGCAGATGCAGCCAGTCTAAGCCAAATAATTGGAAGCAGTAGAGAGAAGTGTGTCCAGTGTTTTCACTTGCAGACATTTCAGCTGCCAAAATAAAAGAAAGCCATTTTAAAACACTGTTTAATCCCACTACTTAAGAATCTTCCGTCGCTTCCCTCTACTGTAAAAATGTCTGTGGCACTCAGTCACTGATGAATTTACCATCACAGTGTCTGTAGCTTTTAGGGAATGCTGTGATTCTGCTTGTGACAGACAGCACTGCAAATAAATTTAGTGGGTTTGGCTGTAGGAGATGTCTTGGGATATAAGTGAACTGAAAGAGCTGGTGCCTAGCCCTGGACCATCATTTCCCCTTCTTCTTTCTTGCTCACAAGTTCTCTGCCTGCACACACATTAATGAGCTTGTTCAGAAAAGCAGCAGGAATTCTGGCCACTAATAAAATGTCAGTCACAATAATTTCCATAGGGAAGTAGCCAAGGAGAAGATTGTCCCCTACAAGGACATGTTCTACTTATCCTTGGAAACAAATCACCTTTAAATTACTGCTTGATGAAAATTGGGGATGTCCCATCTTTGCACAGAAGAGATTGCAAGTAAATTACGCCCTTGCCAAAGGAAGAGAGATGTGGCAGATCCCAGTGTAGTCAGCATAAGCAAGTCTTAAGTAGCCAGAAAGGGCTCCCCTTTTCCAAGACATGAGACTGATCRGGGAAACATTGATACCAGCCAACAAAAAAATTGAAAAGAGGCATGGGCTGACTCTGTATTGTCTTTGTGGTGCTGTGGTGGGAAGTCTGGAGAAATTCTATTTGCACTGGTCAGAGGGGGGAAAATGAGCTAAGGAAGATGTTCTCAAACTACATCACTAGTTTAAAGGATTTCAGAAAGACTTGAGGATGGGTCTCTTTAAACCAAGATAGGAACTAGAAAAGATGGGCTCGGTAGACACTGGAAAATATTGTCTGGATTAAGAATGAGTAGCAGTGGGGGTTTTCCATGTGATCAACAAGAAATACATTTTTCTTTTTCAGACAGTACTGACAAAACTCCTTTCACAGAAAGAAAGATGTTGAAAACTGCTGGGATACTCTCTTGGTTTGAAAGACAGGTGTTTGCCAATGAAGGCAGGGACCCCCCTTGGAGTGGTGGATATGAGCCCCCTTCCCTCTGAATTATTATAGCTTTGAAAATCATGGGCTTTCAGGCAAGAGTATGGGTAAAAGGGAATAAAAGTTTTTACTAATATGTGTAACAAGGTGAAACAAGTAACAACAACGATAGCAACAACTAACCCAGCCATAGACCCAGTGACAGCCTTACATAGACACACCCTCCCCTTTGGTGCAGTTACAGTCCCAGTCGGCAGGGGTGCTGTCGGCTCCCGGCCGGGCAGAGYGGGTGTGATGATTCCCCGGCGGCTGCAGGGGGCACTGTGGCGCATGTCCAGGCTGGTTCAGCTCTTCCATGTGGCCAATGGCGGACACAAACTGGCAGAGGTGGATGGAGAAAAGTTCCTCTGCAAATTCACAGTGAAAACGCTGATCTCAGTGCTCCTCTGGACAGCAAGAAACCCCAGAATGGCCGGATGAGCAAAGAGACAAGCAGAATCCCGCAGATGCGAGACGGGATGCAGCAGAACTCAGCCAGTGCAGCTGGAATCTCAGGGGTCCCCGGCAAAGCACAGGGGCAGAAAATCACAGTGCAGCAAACAGGAACCAACGAGCAGAGATACTGGGCTCTGCAGAAAAGAGCAGGCAAGCTCTCCCCTCGCAGGTAGCAGGCCGACGTTCCTCGTCTGAGCCAAGCAGGGCAGGAGAAGAAGTTACTCCCCGCCCCACACACACATACCCCCTTCTCAAGCCCAAAACTCCAGCGAGAACTTCCCTCTCTCCAAAGAGAGGAGAAAAAAACAACCAAAAACCTGCCAGGCAGCAGGAGTGCTCAGCAAGATCCTTTGGGTGGGGCATAGGTCTTACTGTCTTTACCAATCGCCTAGCCATCAAAAGGATGAYCTGGCAATCAGTGTATCCCAGCAACAAAATGGGAAAAAAAAATTCCCCTAGAAAGGAAACAAAAGGAGATACCTTAACCCACAACAGATACTAATCGTATTTCATATTGTCTGCAATTAAACTAATCTGTAGCTGAGAGTTTTTCTTACCTTTCTTCCTGTTTAACAAATTGCTAATGTGAAGCTGGGAAGGATTTTTCCTCTCTTAGTGTATTGGCAGGGGATTTCTGATTTTCTGGGACTCACTGAAGATATTTTTCATATATCCTGTTTCATATACCCAGAATGGCTTGAATTGCTGTAACCCATAGGATTTGAGATGAGATGATTAGTGCAGTAGTCTCTATGGCATAGCATTGATGAAACTTTCTCCATTTCCCTAAAACTCTCTGTTGCCTAATGCTTACCTGTGACGGGAAGCACTGGCTGGTCGTCTGCTTCATGTACCAGACCCATCAGAGCAACAGTAAAGGGGAGGGAGGGATTACCAGGAGGTGTTGTGGGAAGAAAAGACACATTGCATGGATTTAGCAAAAGCTCCTCTGACTTCTCAGAAAAACTTGGCCTTGCTTTTCAAAACTTTGGAAGTATTGGGCTGTGTTCATTTTTCAGTTCATGTCTGAAAGCTTTAAAATAAAGTGCTTGTACAAGGCTAGCTGTCAAATCTTAGAAGCTGGCAGTTCCCTGTACTGTAAATATGCTTTTGTTCTTCCATTTGATTATACAGAGAGTATGTAATACCCGGAGGAGGACTCCAAGTCCAAACTGAGAAAACTTATGGTAGTTTTAGAAATCAATCTGTCTGAGGTACTATTTAAGCCTATCCATTACTTCTTTCATTAAATTATCTTATGGTTTAGGACACAAAGGTTCCTGAAGCTTCCCTAAGACTTTTGAACTCTGTCTCGCCAGGGAAAAAAGAAAACCTGAAAAGTACCATTTAAAGATTTGAGTACTGAGAACTGTTCTCCCTTCATAAACTTTAAATGAAGTCCAGTCTCTTTCTTGGGAGCAGCCCTTCAGACAAAAAAATGCTGGTGAGGGAAGCTGTGCTTGATGGAGTAGCAAATCCCAGGGCTCTCCAGAAGCCTGCTGGTCTTTTCCCCTTTGTCCACTGTCATCTGCCTCTTCACAAAGCCATCATTAAGGTTGGGGAAGACCTCTGAGAGTCAGCCATTAACCTAAAATGGTCCTCCACTAAAACACATCCCTGAGCCCACATCTATGTGGGTTCTGAGCATGTGAGGGGACTGTGAATGTCTGTGGTAATTTCGTCTTTGGGGCTCCTTATCTGATCTCACAACTGACCCCCTGCACGTCCTTTGCTCATTCCCAGATGTCCCCAGGGAGCAGCGGCTGCAGGCAGTACAGGCTGCCATCATGCTCATGGCCGATGAGAACAGGGAGGTCCTGCAGACCCTGCTCTGCTTCCTCAGTGATGTCACCTCCGTGGAGGAAAATCAGATGACTCCCATGAACATTGCTGTTTGTCTGGCCCCTTCCCTCTTCCATCTCAATACAGTGAAGAAGGAAAGCTCACCAAGGTATGTTTCTTCTCGTTATAAACAGTCACATCCTTAACACAGAGTGATGATTTCAGTGGTATGCAGGACAAAATTTTCCAAACCAACTGCTTTCCAGCACTCATTAAACAGGGCATAGTTTCAGCAAGAGGGTAAAACCTCTGCTGCAGAGCCAGAAGCACACTTGTTTTCACAAGCCCAGCAGGCATTTCTGGCTGGCTGCTGTGAATATGCCTGCTTTCCATGCAAAATTTTCAATGGGGCACTAGTGAGTTTTGCATGAGTAATGTTGACTTATGAGAAGGAAAAGGGCTTGATTTTGCTGTGGTTGAAGTCTAAGATTAACCGAGTTTTAAAGGCTTCTGATATGTAGATTTTCAATGAGTGGGTTTTTTTCACTTTAAATGTACTGTCTACATTCAGGAAACAAGGTTTATTTCAGGCCACGTTCAAACTGTAACACAGTGAGTGTAGACTAAACAGGGCATAGCCTGGCTAAACATTAGTGGTCCCTCTTGACTTTTTTTCCTCCCACTGGTTCGGAATACAGTGAGATTCTTGGTCAAGTACATGTGTAACCCATGTCTGAGCAAGTGCTTTAAGCAGTRACAATGTAAACCACTTTATATCATGTCTGTTAAAAATCCATTTCGAAATGTACAACACATCATGCAGGACACGCATAACCTTTCCTGCTCTTACCTTTGGCTCAACAATATTTTAGGTAAACATTTTTCCTTTAAAAAAGGCCTAACAGTTTGAGCAGTCTTGGTGATAAATAAAAACTAAAGATCGGGGTTTTTTTCCTCTCTGGTATTGGGAGCATCCTGCTGCTTTTTGCTTTCATATTAAAAAGATTCAGCTCTTTACCTGAGAAACTGAATTCAATTACAGAGTAATACAGAAAAAATATGCAACAGGGAAGCCAGATCAGAAGGACCTCAGTGAAAACCTGGCAGCTACTCAGGGACTTGCTCACATGATAATGGAATGCAACAAACTTTTTGAGGTGAGTGAGAGACTCAAACAGCATTATTCATGGCTACATAATACAGTACCCTTTGAAGTGTTTATGTTTATGCTTACATTTTATGTCTTGTATTAGCTCAGAGATTGGTGCCTGACTTATTTGTAAACTTACTTTGTCTAAAGTTTATTTACCTCATTTCTTTATGGTAATTCCCTTTTAGTATTCAAAAGATTCAAGGTAATTAATCTGTGACAGTTTTCAACCCAAAACACTGGATTAGGAACTTTTAGTCCAATTAAAATCAAAATCTGCTAGTTTAAATTTTTATTACAATGCTTTTAACACCTCGATTAAAACTTATCTATCTCAAAAAGAATTGGTCATATGCTTTATTTCTGTGTGTCGTGCAATAAAGTAAAAATCACATAGAGAGATGCAGTCATTCCTGGAGCTTCTTACACACAGCTGGAAGAAAGCAAATGCTCCTATCTCACTTCCTCAGAGGCACAGGGCAATATTTCTGAGAGCTGAAGGAGTAACAGAGGTGTATTGACATCCGGTTGATCAGTCTAGCACGGTTCTGCATGAGTAGTGCTGTGCTGAGCCACCGGCTGTTTCATTAGACTACTTTGATGTTTCCTCTTGCAAAAAGACAGAAATTGATGTGCATTTTACAGATCATAGGTTCATGCAATTGGATGCTGAGTGGTCCATGAACCTAGGAACAAATTGCCTTAAGGAAAAGATCTCAGGAGATTTTCCCTTTGTATATTCCCTCCCTTTTGTGACACAGGTCCCACACGAGATGATCACCCAATCCCGAAACTCCTATGTTGATGCAGAAGTGCATTCTCTCACCCTGGACGAGCTTGGGAAACAAGTGGATGAGGAAGGAGGGAACTATCAGATGTACCTGGAAATTCTCATGCAGAATCTCCAAAAAGAAGCAAAAGAGAAATTCAAAGGATGGGTCACATGTTCCAGTATGGAGAACACAGAACTTGCCTACAAAAAGGTAATTTGGAGAGACATGGAAGAAGCAGTAAAGAAACCAAATAAAAAATGCAGCCTGGCTATGGGGCACCCTGACAGATTGTATGGCAAAACTCACACCCTTCTTTCTGGCAAGGCACTCTTTTTAAAAAATGTTTTAAAATATTACTAAAAGCAGTTGAAAATGTAATATAATAGTGATTCAAACATGAGAATCTGGAAAGAGGCACATAAAGCAAGCCAGGGTCTCCATAACAGATCACGTAAGTGATAGAGCAACCAACACAGCCAGAGAGTGAGCTGAGATGTTAAAAAACAGAGAACATTACCTGGGCAAGCTTTTTGACTRGAGGACATGGAAAGTTTCTGACCAGTTCTTGATGTGTGTCAGCAGTTTGGCAAACACAGCAAGATAACAGGTAACTACAAAACTTCAGGCTCCCCAATGCTTTATCAAGTAGGTCAGCCATATCACCAGTTTTATCCCTGACCCTTTTGTCCTTTTTTGAAGTGGATTTTTGGTACTGCACCTTTTATTAAAATTTCTGAATTTGTTTTGGGCTCCATCACTTCTCTGGGGGAAGCCAGACCACTGCAGTGAGGCAGAGGGTGCTGCAGGTCCCTGCAGGCAGTGGAGTTCAGGGCTGCTGGAAATGCAGTAGCAAAGCAGAGGTCTCCAAACCAGCATCAGCTAGTGAGAGGAGGGGATGGATTTGGGGGGCGGGGGGGGGGGGGGGGGGGGGGGGGGGGGGGGGGGGTGACATTCATTAGGTAGGAGAAGGCAGTTTACTTGCGTACTGCCTGAAATAGGATCCCTAAAACCATGCAGAAAAGCTGTATGTGTGCAGTCTGGGAAATTCACCTTGTGTGTAGCCCAGCACTTTCTGCTGCCTGTGCTGCAAGCTGSGGAGGTGTTCTGAGCATCTGTGAGCAAGGAGGAGTTAGCAAGCACCTTTGAAAGGTGTTTTCTCTGGCAGCTATTTTGAGGAGCAGACGTCTGTGTACCTGACACTTAACTGAATCAACATATGTTCTGCTCTGCCAGAATTAACCAGGAGGGTCAGTGGATCCTCAGTCCTAGGTAGTGTGTAAGATTGCCTAAGGTGGTTGCTTTATTTCAGCCCAGAGTTTCAGTCTCTCCTCTGTTTTTACTTCTGCAGACACATATTCTTTGCTACACTTGGTGCGTCTGGGCTTGGAAAAGTGTCTGTCACCCCAGAAGTAATACAGAACCTCCCTGGCACTGTGGGAACTAATCCAGATGTATTCTGTTATGAGAGCAGAGTACTGAATCACTTCAGATTTCCATTGAGGAGCAGCAGAGCAGCAGCAGCAGCAATAATAGTAATGATTAGCAGGGAATATGAATGCTCTTAGTCTGAAGTCAGACACATATGTGGAGATTTTATCCTCAGTTACAGTCTGCYGAAGACAGGCACATAAATCATGGGGGTTTGTGTTCTTGGTTGCTTCACTCCAGGTTGGGGATGGGAACCCACTAAGGCTTTGGAAAGCCTCAGTTGAAGTTGAAGCCCCCCCATCTGTTGTCCTGAACCGAGTGCTGAGAGAACGTCACCTCTGGGACGAGGACTTCTTGCAGTGGAAGGTGGTGGAGAGCCTGGACAAGCAGACAGAAGTTTACCAGTACGTTTTGAACAGCATGGCTCCTCACCCCATCCGAGACTTTGTCATTCTGAGGTAAGCTGAGGACAGTTCTCTGGTACCTTTGGCTCCTGCAATGCATAGAGGAAGATCTGAATTTATCTCAGCCTTCACATCTGTATAATTGCTCTGCAAGAACTCTACTTGTGGGCAGCAGTGTTGATTTCTCAAACTGAATTAGAGTCATACACCTGGAGCATGCTGACCTTTTCTCTGATGTAATTTGAGCAGCACATACTCCTGAGGCCATAAATATAATTTCTTCCTCAGAACAGATGTCTGATAATAGCTGCTCTTCCCTCTTAGCTTTGTTTGTTGTCAAAACAGTGCAAATATAACCCAGTTGTTTTTTACGCTGCTTCTGCTGTTCTCTGGGGAACGTTTGATGTTTAAGAACCAAATGTTTAGAGAAGAAGATAGTGGTGCTTTTAAGCTAAGGCTGTTACACGGTCTCTGTATAAGTTATTATCTTAAATTTTCAGTTGGAGCCTTTTTGAACAAATAAATGCTTTGTTCCATAAAAATCGTAATGTGGAAATTAACAGGAAGAGGCAGTAGATTTGCATTCTCTCTTCCAGGGGATGACTTCTCTCAAATAAACGTACAGCTGTGTATCAATATTCCACGTTCAATCCCAGTTCTGCCATTGTCTATCTGCCTGGACAGAACAGTCAAAAAATACCCCTCTTATGCACCTTCTGCCTTTGAAATCCTGGCCTTTGCTTGCTAGGAGCTTTTGTGGAGCTGCTGACATATTTCACTTACAGGGTCAGTCCTACAGTCATTTATTTCAGGAAGATTTTGTGCATCCTTGTTTTTGGTCTCATCTTTCTTTGACTGAAATGATGTGCCAGAGAAATACAAAACAGTTTTGACAAAGGAAGTAGTCCAGTGAGTCAGAATTGTATTAAAGGGAGAGCAGATTGAAGCAAAAAGATGAGTCAAATAAAATACAATTATGAAAGTACATCACTTTTATGAACTTCAGTAGTCTCTTAGAGGATGACAACATGCAGATATTGCTGATATAAGGGAAGAATTATTGGAAATCTTAGGGGAAGATTTAAAAAATGTTTTCTGTAACCAGTGCTGCCATTACTCAATTTCCTTTGCCTTCCCACAGTATACTGAGCTAAATAAATTATTTTATAATGAATTATGTATTTTATGTAATTATATATCATTATTTTATAAATAATCTTCTTACATAATGTTATTAACTTGAACCAGTGATAAAATTGGCCCTCTGCATGGCACTGAGAAGATTGTCTGCAAGCGGCAGGGAGGTTTTGATGACTGTAATTTGGTCCTCTCATTTGCCACTTAGTTCACGATCAGGTTTCGTGGTGGTTTATGTTCTTTAAAGACCTGCTGTGCAGTCACATCAGTTAAAGAAAAATCTTTCTATCGAGTTCTCATTCTTTTCACTAACCCAGGCAGAATGGCCCCTGAGGACAGAAATACATACCATAAAAATGAATCCTGGTGGGTTCTTAAGGGCTGAAAACAGACATCAGGCAGATCTGTCAGGTTCTGTTGTTTATCTCTTTTGACTGATACCATGAAGTCTAGAGTGAGGTTAGCCAGCAATACCACAGTCAATTTGATACCTTATGATTGGTGGGAAGTGAACAGTGAAATTATAATACACCTCTGGGGACATGAATAAGTATATTTTAGCAGATGGCCATTTTCTCCTTCTCAATCAAACTTTTGGCTGTGAAAGGATCAACTTCATTGTTCCCTTTTTTTTGATGTGACAGTCATAACAAGGAGATTAGGCTCCCTAGAGAAGACTGATAGTAAGAGGAGAGGGGAAGTGTTTCATATGCCTGGGATATGACACAGCTCTCAGCTGCCCTGCACAGGCATCACTTTTATTAAAGAATCCACAAGTGTTTAATGKTCATTCAGTATCACAGCATTTTGGTGCATTAGGTGCCATGCCTGGTTTTACCACTGTAATGCATTTAAAGAATGAAACTGAAACTGGCCTAAATCCATATGAGGAACAGGAAACATAAGTCTTCTGAAATCTCTGGGATATAGAACGTTCCACTTCCCAAATGGCCCAGGTAGTGCTGGGTAGTTACTGAAACAACAGCTAAACACTGTGCAAGCACTCACAGGAGGTGGTTCAGCGTTTCTCATACTGGATCTCGGCTGTGATTTCCTACTCCCATGTGTTGCATCTGTAAGATTTTATTTATGCCCAGGCACATGTAAAACCTTCTGGTCAGTATCCTCCTGCAGTGTCTTGGAATAGCAGCTCAGTGTAATGTTAGAAAAATGCAGAATGTTAAAATTACCTACTGAAGTCCAAACTTCAACAGTCCTTGAAAGCAGCTTGCCTGCTAAAATATCATACTTCCCAAGGAAGCATAATCCCTGTCACAGACAGTCCACAGCAAGATGATGCATGTTGCACAGCACAGTGGGAATTCCTCATTTCTTCCCACAGCATAGGAAAGAGCACAGACCTATCCTCTGAGCATCAGTGCAGGTGAGAAAGATGTGAGACACCAGAATATGTAGAAAATGCTTACAGAACAACAAAAAAAAATGTTAAGGGTTAAAGTCTAGGTCTCCTGATTTCATGGAAAATTTCTCCAGCAGAGAGGCTAGAAACTTGGGAGAGGAAAAAATGGACATTTGCTTTTAATTTAGACATGCTGGAAACATATTCTGGGTAGTTGTGAGGATTTCTGCAGTACTAAACTGCATTTCTTGTTCTGTAAGTCTGCATGGGTGCAATGCAGTTCCAGATTTTTCTGGATGGGTTATCCTCACTCTTTCTCCTTTCCAAAACTTCTGTCTGACTGCAGAAGGCTCTACTCTGTCCTTTAATGCATAAAGGTTACAAAACCTTCCTGTGCAGAAGCAGAACTTCTGCACCTGAAGCCACATAGATGGCCATTCCACATCACAGTCAGACTGCCAACTGGGAAATGTGGAACTCCCCCACGGATTCTTGAGACAGTCCCTGGCATTGTAGGCAACAAGGACTGGCAGACAAGCAAACTGCTAATTGTGGTTCTTACTTGTATGCCCAAAAGTCTCATTGCTAAAGGGATTCCATCTTGCAGGACATGGAGGACAGATTTGCCCAAGGGGATGTGCATGCTGGTTGCCATCTCTGTGGAGCACGAAGAGGCTCCTATCATGGGGGCTGTGCGAGCCATCGTGATGGACTCCCAGTACTTGATAGAGCCCTGTGGCTCAGGTAAAGCCAGGCTGACCCACATCTGCAGGACTGACCTAAAGTGAGTATTCCACCTGCACAAAGTGACATCCATTCAGCAGGACAAACCTCAAGCTCAGGGAGGGGACATGCTGGGAACAGAGGGTATGGGTGGCATAGCCTTGCTGCTCTGGAGTTTTCCTGCAGGCTTTCCTCCACTCAGCCCCTACCACTGTTCTGATGTGATCTCAGAAACAGAATCTGGTTATTTGATTACTGCAAGGGAGAATTTCAGACTACACTTAAAATGACAAGTATTTGAAGTGTCCACCACCTCTGTGGCCAGTGGGGAGCAGGAAGCGTGGCAAGGATGTTTCTGTGGGGCATATTTCTTGAGTATTTGAGTTTCTCAATAATTCTCTTCTCATTTCTTTAGAGGACATTCCCCAGAGTGGTACAACAAAGGCTTTGGACATCTGTGTGCAGCAGAAGTTGCCAGGATCAGAAATTCATTTCAACCTCTGATTGCTGAGGGACCAGAAACAAAAATTTGAGGAAGCATTCCTGGGAGCATGTGAGCTGGGAGGGAAGAGTCTGGCAGGGAACAGGAATACTGAAAGCAAAGGTCTTATTTAAGCWGCAGAAATCTCACCAGACCTGGGTCTATACAAAGCTGAGAAAGGAATTTTATAGGAAAGTTCTTTTATTCTGGAGACTTCACCTTCCCCCCTCCCCCACATCCACACTGTAATAATTTTGATTATTGAACTAAACATTTCTTCAGAGAGCTTTTATTACTTTAAAAACAGATTATTGCCATTACTTGTACGTTACATAACTCTGGTATTTAAAGGCTTCTAAGAAGCATATTTTAATTGTAAATAAATAATGTACAGTATGTATATATTTATCTATATTCTATCTATCTATATATATGTATATGTATAAATTAATTATTTTGTATATAACCCAGTGCAAACCACTTGCATCATTTGGACCTGAAGTGGATCTGTCACTTGTTTTTTAGTGTGTCACTGCTACATAAGTTGTGTTTGCTGTTGTCACAGGGCTACCAAGCATAATTCGTGTGGTAACAAATGCCTGCACTCAAATATGTTTTGTGTTCKTGTGTGCTATAAGAAGGTACCCAGAAATAGATGTTGGAAGAAGTACAGGAAACTAAGAAAGGAGGAGGTTACTGTTAATTTAAAAATAATGTGGAGTCTCACCAAATAAAATACATGGAGATGCATCGGAGACAGACATCGTGGAGGCCATTTATGTTCAGCTGCAGAATTGTGACTGTTAGAAGAAGGTGCTGGAAACTTACCTGTTGCCTTAATTCCTGGTGTCTGTCAGGAGAGAACCTCACTGTGTGCAGTGTTCCAGGTTACTGCTCATCCTCAGACAGCACAAAGTAAYGCTGTGTGTCCTCAGATTTCTGAAGTCAGAGTAGTAAGTTACTAAGCTGTAAATTAACTTTTTAAAGCATTTTGTCTAGGTTCTGAGTGTTTCTGTTTTGTTCTTTCCTTCTCCCACAGAGATGGCTAGTCCAAAGCAGGTTTTCCACATCCAGTGGACACAAAGACATGCAGATGAACACGCCTTTTAATATTCTTACTATACAAATAACTGCGCTTTTTTTAAGGTTTTAAATAAATCTTGAAGATTTAAAAGACTAAATAAATTATTTTCTTGGAAAGACTGTTTTTGTAGTAACAGCAAGAATTTTCATCTTATATTGCACTGATCTGCATGATCCCACCTCTGTAGACATTGGTGGGAGCAGGATTAGCCCTGACTATGAGGAGCAGGAGCCATTTAAGCCTATTACATAATTTCATTTTCAGGGACCTATTATTTTGCTAATGGAAGTATGCTTTAAAAGTAATAATAATAATAATAATAATAATAATAATAATAATAATAATTTGTCAGCATTGCCTTAGAGGCAGGGTTCCATTTTGTTTTTAACTAACCTAAGACCAAAATGTTATTACATCTAGGACTCAATAAGAATGTACAAGCCTGTTAATACTGTTCTTCATTAATTGCATTTGTTCATTTGGACTTCGTTGCTGCATAAACCAGCGGAGTCGCTCACAGCCAGTGCTTCAGCTCAGTCCTTCCAACAAAATCTAGAAAGATCAGTATGAGGGCAGTTAAGCAGGATGCATTTCTTACCAAGGTGAAGCTACAGCTTTGTGCCTCGATTCAGTGAATGTGGAGGTCTCTTCAAAGCCAGAGCTTTGAGCGTGCCCCAGGTGTGGGAGCGGTGCAGTGCACGGTGTTTGGTGACAGCTGCTGGAGTGTGATTTCCCCATGCCATCCTGCCACACACATGAAGGCTGTGCTGGCAGGGGACAGCCCTGCAATCTGAGGAGCACCTGTGGCAGCTCCGGGTGGACAGGGTGACCCAGGTGACCCACAGTGCTCCAGGGTGTCCTTGTGAAGGAGCAGGACCCCAAAAAAGTCACTGTCATCTCCCATGAACTGAGTCACCCATGTTTTGCTGTGCAAGCCCTAGGATCGGGAATGTCGGCTGCCTGGGAGCTCCTGCCTTGAGTTTATGGCCAACAATGGTTGCAGGGTGCAACTACTTTAAGTAGCTTTAAGTCCCACAGACAGGGGAGTGCTGCCACAGCTCTTGAGTGGCTGTGGTGGGGTCTGGCAGTCACCCGTTCGCTGCAGGGCAGCCCCATTGCCCAGGCTTAGCCCTCCCGGGAGCAAACAGTGCCTCTCCAGCTGGGAATGCCATTCCAGAAAGCAGCCCCTCCTCCCCAAACGCCTGTGGCCATGGCAGCAGATTTCATGCTAGCTGTTTTCCAAAACATGAGCAATTAGAGTACTTCTGCTACATTAGTTCACATAAATAAATACAGCAGTCCCTCAGCATTAACAGGCACAGAATTTCTAGCCCTGGGAATGGCAGTGTCTGGAAATAAATAATTTCTTAAGGAAAAGAAGGGAAAACCTGGACAGTGTTTTTGTCCCGTCTGACAAATCATTGCTCAGCTGGAAGAGGTCCGGTGCCACCTGCCACCTTTAGCAAGGTAGGCTTGTTTTCTTGCCCTTGCAGAAACTCTGTCACGTGTTTCTGCCATCTCCAAGCCATGTATTGTTGAAATAAGATTTCTTCAAAATGCACATTATGCCATGTCTGCCATTCAGCTACCACAGTATTTTGTATTGTTACATAGATTCATTATGATAATTGCATTTTTAAATGTTATACTCATATAAGTACCTCATATTTTTACCTCATCTGTTGGTATCAGTCATTAGYTGTAAAAAGTAACTTCAGAGTTGAATAAATTTGCATACACTAAAGGATCGTGTTTCTTTGTGCTCTTTTTTCATCCATTGGCTCAGGAAATGCTACATTTAAACCCTTGTTTTCTTTAGTGGAACCTGCTATACACTAAACTGTTCTGGTGTGGGACTTCAGTAATGATTGCAGGCTCAAAATTGATTTGTTGTTTATTATATGTAGCCCGTAGTATCCCTATGTATACATGAGCTCCATGGCAAAGATTGTGTTTTCCAAAGAAGCCATTGAAACAGGAAAGCTGGCTTAGCAGATTCACCGAATATCCAGAATTGGAAGGGACCCACAAGGATCATCAAGTCCAGGCTTGAGAAAGGTAAATTCAGATCCTCAACAGTTTAGGCTCCTGACTCCCACTGAGCTCAGCCATGTTTCTGCATCTACGTTCTTGTCAGTAATTTAGGTCCAGGTTCATAAGAGTGACTGTGAAGATGGGAGGGTGAGTGCTGGGTTCTCATTGTCAGGCATCAGCCATCTCAAATCCATCAAGCCACTGCAAAAGAGCAAAAGGTGCAATAACATGACAGTGATTGCTGTGGTTTGTTTCACATATTCTACATATGGGATAAACGTTCCTTTGGATGGGTACTGTGGTGTAACCCCAGTTGGCAAATAAGTACCACTCTCTACCCCCACACCTGGAAGGATAGGGAAGGAATCATGAAAAGGTAAAACCTGTGGGTTGAGATAAGAATAGTTTAGCAATTGAAATGAAGCAACAATATTATCAACATCAACAACAACAACAATAACAAAAATAATGAGGGGATTAAAAAAAAMCAGAAATATTACCCTGGAAACACAAATGATGCACGATACCATTGCTCACCACCTGCTGACCGATGCCCAAGCCCATCCATAAGCAGCAACTGTCTCCCCACCTGCCAGCTCCCTCGGTTTCTAGACTGGACATAACGTTCCATGGTATGGAATATCCCTTTGGCCAGTTTGGTCAGCTGTTCTGGCTGTGCTCCCTCCCAGCTTTTTGTGCACCTGCTCAGTGGCAGAGTATGAGAAACTGAAAACTCCTTGGCTTCGGGTGAGCACTGCTTAGCAACTACCAAAACATCACAGCATTATCAACATTATTCTCACACTGAATCCAAAACACAGCCCTGTATCAGCTACTAACAAGAAAATTAGCTCTTCTGCAGCTGTAACCAGGACATGGTGTTGACATCCCTCCAACTCTTTCTTGACTTACTGAAAGAAACCAAGTCTCAGAAAACAGGGTAATGACCAGAGTCAGCTATGAAAGACCATCTAGGAGGGGATACGCCTTTACATCCCACCATTGAGAGGAAGCTCTGTTTTAAAATTTGGATTGAAAGGAAGCACTTTTTTCCAATTGTCTGCCCAATGGCAGAGATGGGCAGCTGTGAAAGCCTATCCTTTCTTGTGCAAAAATCACACACTATGTCAGTGCTCTCATTCCCATTCTCCCTCCCACCCACCTTCTATGAGGGCAGGGCAGTGAGGTTATCTTAACCCGAACAGCACTGACGTTTCAGCTCCTGGTAAGCGCAGACTTCAAAGTGATGAATTCTTGGGCATCCACCCCCACTACAAGATCTTGCAGGGCAATCCCTCTGCTTGATGCATTCACACTGCAGAGTCAGGGTCATCCTCAGAGGGTCTTGGCAGGCCTGAGAGGTGCTGCTCCCCCAAAGGGCTGGTAGCTGTTAGACAAGAACACAGGGTGAGCACGCTGAGATGACTGTGAGGTGAAAATGTTGGAATAAATATCCAGAAAACTGCTGGAGCCTGCCAATCAGATAGGAGAGGATGAAAACAAATACTGCTGCTCCAGCTCAGTTGTGATGGGAAAATGCTGGCGGGTAAATGAAGACCTTGCCACCCAGAAAGCAGCATCACCCACTCACGATCCCCTGAGAATTTAGTATGATCATGCTATGGTCTCCTTGCCAGATGTGTGTCAGCCACAGCTGCACAAGGACTAGACCAGGCAGACTATTGTCACAGCTACAGTTTGTCTCGGTTTGAGACAATGTTTTCAGAGAAAAAATTTTGCAGAGTAAATGTTTCCTCTGAAGTGAAAAACTTTGATAATTTTTTCCCACCAATATGAAAATGGACGTTAAGGCAAAAGTGAAGAGAAAAAAAAAAGGAGTTTATTAACAAAAAAAAAGGAGTTTATTAACAAAACACAGTGCCCACAGGACACAGATAAAAAGTAACTGTTAGATATTTAACACTCAGGARCACACAGCGACCCCCTCCCCCACAGCCGCTCGCCACATGGTGGTGTGGACAAAAGATGGTGGCTCCTGTCCCTGGGAAAAGGAAAAAAAAAAACAAAAAAACCAACCCATGTGGCCGCTCTCATAACAGTGGCAAAAACCTGGATTATAGTCCTTTCTTCACTGTGGATAAAACAGAGGGCTTGTTGTGTTTTTCTATTGCCGGCTTGGCTTCTTCCGGAGTCCGGGACGAGAGGGAGCTGCGCGGCTTCTCCCTGCCAGTTGCCAAATTGCTCCAGAGGCAGAATCACAGGAGCCGCAGAGGGAATCCGTCCATGGAAAACTGCCCAAGCTAACAAACACGTGCTAGCTAAAACTGCAACAATGTAACTCTGCTGCATGCAGCAAGCAAGGACTCCCGCAGCGCAGAGCTGGTCTGCAAAAGCAAMAGTCGAGCTACAAAAGTCAACGGCTGCACGGCCGTGCCAGCTTTTTAAACTGCCCRTGCCACCTTCCCAGCCGCCCCTGCTCCTTCTTCCGGGTTGCATTTAAAGGGGCAGGTACCTTTTGGGCATTACAAGCCAATGGGACATAGGAATACAGAACAGAATTGGCACAAAACCAACCCGAGACATTCCACCCCTTATTCCATATCTGTCGGCTTGAAGCCCAAACTAATACATTCTAACTTTACAGACACACATATATATACATGTATACATATATACAGAATAGTGGCAGTGACATTCAGCAAGCATTAATCATAGTCATCCCAACATTAAAAGCGGTTTTCACTCAAAATCAAATCCCCCTGAGGTACACAATGAGTTTCTCTGTCCTCCTGCATTACCCACCATGTGCAAACTCGTCCATGAGAAACGGCAACGCCACGGATGGGTTTGTCTTTGCTCGAGGCAGAATTAATCCAAACATTCTTTCCTAACAAAACTTTGAGATGTACTGCAGGGACCCTGTCTCCATCCACTGTATGCAGGGGTTCATACTGAGCAGGGCCTGCTCAGTTGGTGGAGCCTCGAGTGTTTACCATCCAGGTATCCTTTGCTAGGCGCTGTTCCCAGTTTTTGAAAGTACCTCCGCCCAGTGCCTTCAAGGTGGTTTTYARRAGYCCRTTGCACCGTTCCACTTTGCCAGCAGCAGGTGCATGGTAAGGGATATGGTACACCCACTCARTGCCAYGTTCCCTAGCCCAGGTGTTWATAAGGCTGTTCTTGAAATGAGTCCCGTTGTCAGACTCAATTCCCTCTGGGGTACCATGACTCCAAAGGACCTGTGTTTCAAGGCCCAGGATGGTGCTACGGGCAGTAGCGTGAGGCACAGGGTAGGTCTCCAACCATCCAGTGGCAGCTTTTACCATTGTGAGTACATAGCGCTTGCCATGACAAGTCTGGGGCAGTGTGATGTAATAAACCGGCCGGGCCTCTCCATACTTGTACTTGTCCCACCTTCCCYCATACCACAGGGGCTTCACCTGTTTGGCCTGCTTGATGGCAGCACATGTCTCACAATTGTGGATAACTTGGGAGATACTGTCCATGGTTAGATCCACTCCTCAGTCTCRTGCCCACTTATATSTGGCATCTTGGGCCTRTCGAGCTATGAACAACTCACCCTTGTGTTGCCAGTCCAGGTCGATCTGGGACACCTCTATCTTTGCAGCCTGATCTACCTGCTCGTTGTTTTAGTGTTCTTCATTAGCCCAGCCCTTGGGGACATGGGCATCTACCTGCCAGACTTTCACAGGTAGCTTCTCCACCYGGGCAGCAATGTCTTTCCATTCTTCAGCAGCGCAGATTGGTTTTCCCCTACACTGCCAATTGGCCTTTTTCCATCTGTCCAGCCACCCCCACAAAGCATTGGCCACAATCCTTGAATCAGTGTAAAGGTAGAGCTTTGGCCACTTTTCCCTCTCAGCAATGTCCAGGGCCAGCTGGATGGCTTTGAGTTCAGCAAATTGACTTGATCCACCTTGTCCTTCTATGGCCTGTGTGACCTGTCGTGTGGGGCTCCATACAGCTGCTTTCCACTTTCGGTTCATCCCTACAATGCGACAGGAACCGTCAGTGAAAAAAGCGTAGCATTTATCCTCTGCTGGCAGTTGGTTGTATAGTGGAGCTTCCTCAGCCCGGGTCACTTGTTCTCGTTCTTCCTCATCAGCAAGACCAAAATCTTCACCTTCAGGCCAATTTGTAATTATTTCCAGGATCCCAGGGCGATTCAGGTTTCCTATATGGGTGCGCTGAGTAATGAGAGAGATCCATTTGCTCCAGGTAGCATCGGTGACATGGTGGGTAGAGGGGACCTCAGCTTTGAACATCCACCCCAGCACTGGTAATCGGGGTGCCAGGGGGAGTTGGGCTTCAGTGCCAATCACCTCTGAAGCAGCTTGGACTCCTTCATAGGCTGCCAAGATCTCCTTCTCTGTTGGGGTGTAATTGGCCTCGGACCCTCAATAGCTTCGGCTCCAGAATCCCAGTGGCCGGCTTCAAGTCTCACCAGACACCTTTTGTCAAAGGCTCCAGGACAATTCCTCCCAGCTGCAGTGTAGAGCATGTTCTTCACTTTGGATGCTGCCCTGACTGGGCCAAGGGCTAACACATGAGTGATTTCCTGCTTGATCTGGGTGACCTGTCTTGCTGCYGTTCAGGGCCCCACTGGAAATCGTTCTTCTTGTGGGTCACCAGGTAGTGAGGGCGCACGATCTGCCGGTATTCGGGGATGTGCATCCTCCAAAAGCCTATGGCACCAAGGAAAGCTTGTGTTTCGTTTTTGCTGGKCGGTGGAGACATTGACGTGATCTTATTGATGACCTCGGTGGGGATCTGACGCTGTCCATCTTGCCACTTTACCCCAAG